TCATTTAGTGGATCAAGGGACAACGTGATGGTTTTCTATGGATTGTGTTGAATTATTCCTACGGATTGCTCAAATCATTGCATGTTAAAATATTTAAGCACTAGAGAGATTTTTACATCTTAGAGTTATATGACGAGTCCATAGATTAATATGAGATTGCAAGCAGCACTTATAAGTCATTAATTTTGTGTAAAAAAGTGAAAAAATCACCAAGGCCTAATCTAAGTTTAAATAGTTTCGTTACTTTAAGTCTGGGAATTACTGAGGTTCGCCCATCCATGTAAGTGGATTTCTGGGTACAATGTAATAGACATTTTGCGAGGAACATTTCCTACAGTGCCAAAAGGTTTTTTAATATGGCGAGCTTGAACAATTTTAGCATTCATTTTCTCTTGTTGATGGACATCCCTTTTGCCATTCTCGAACATTTATCACCAACGTATGAGATGTTCTCTGCCAAAAAAGTATTTTACATTATTGCCTTGTTTTCTTCAATATGGATGGCCTGCTAGTGCTCTGCAATGGCTATTAGTAGCGAAATCTTTGATTGGCGAGTAAAGAGAAATGTTTTGCAGACCCTATTGGTCGGATGGAGTTGATGAGTCTACATTTTTGTGGGCAATTGGTAGGAATAGTTTTACTGGTGTTCTTTCATTAATAATTAACTGACGCAGGAGCTGTTATTTTATTTATTTCTTCTTTTATGCTAGCAGTGGTGACACAATTGTAATTAGTTGCTATTTTTGGTTGCCGGCAGTTCTGGATAACCAAAATTTCCCTGCAAGTTCTTACTGGTTTTAGGCAAAAGTCCTGTATCCTGGGTTTGAGGCGTCCCAGGTGGTACTTAGCCCTTTTTTCTTGTTTTCTTCTCTGAATTCTTGAAGTATATTCTTCCAGTTGTTTCATTTCTCTGTTGCTGTTCGAGCTAGCTCCCATTTTGTTTTATTTTCTTTGTTGTGGTACCAACTTGGTATCAGAGACAGCACACTTCCATCCAGAACTCCTCCTATCGAAACATCAGGCAAGAGAATCAGGATGATGCCAACAAGAAACAAATTAAGTCCAACTGAAGAATTAGTCGTAAAAGACTTGCTACGAGAAATTTGTCGGTTGTAAGAGAGACTGACGGTTCTTGAACAACGGGATCCTAGAGAACGCCAAAATGAACCTGGAAATGAGGTGATTAGAGAAGAAGAGAACCCATTCTATCAAGAAATATCCAGTGGGGACAACAGCCCTGTGCGAACATTAAGGCATGGAAATTGACTAAAATCTATAAATTTTGGAATCAAAATCGACATTCCTGAATTTGAGGGAAGATTGGATCCAGATAAATTCGTCAATTGGCTTCATATAGTTGAACAAATTCTTGAATTTAAGGAAGTGCTACAAGAACATGTTGGCAAACTTGTGGCGATCAAATTAAAGAAGAACGCATCCCTTTGGTTCAAATTAAAGAACACATCTCTTTGGTGGAAAAACTTGAAGAGGACTTGATAAAAAGAGGAAAGGTCCATAATCACTTCTTGGACCGAAATGAAAAAATAATGCAATGGAAATTCTTCCCTGAGCATTATAAACAAGAAATCTTTATTCGGCTTCATAAGCTACAACAGCAATAAATTACCTGGGCCAAAATGCAGCCTCACTGAAGCTGAAGTGCACATCATTGCCCCGTTTTCAGATGGACTATGACCAATCATTGCTAATGTCGTGCAGTACAATCTTTCTGGACACTTCATACTTTAGTTGTTAAGGTAGAGAAACGACAACAGTTTGGAAGGACCACCCAAAACTGAAATGCTTCAAGTAAAGCCCCTAACTTAAAACCTTTCACTAGAGGAAAGCGATGAGAATTCAGTGATAACATAGGAGGACCTTTGAATCGAGGAGCCATGGGTTTGGACATATCGCTTCAAATTATCCGAATCTCCATTTCATTTGTTGAAGAATTGAATTCGGATGCAGTACAACAAGAGGATTATGACAATTTTCTCATTGAAGAACTCTTTTTGGGTGGATGAAGGCTCGTGAATACTAAACATAGTTCTGACAAATAATAGCTTCATCACAATATTTTTTGGACAAGGTGTACCGGGCATGACAAAGTTTGCAAGCTCATTATCGATAGGGGGAGTTGTGAAAACCTGGATTAGATATAAAATTTGCAAAAAAAATAGTTTTGGGCTCAAATAGGTGCGGCTCGTGCTGGAATAAGATGGCGGGATTGGTTCAGATCGCGCAAGCTTCACGCACAAGCTTCAGTGAAGTGGCTAGGTTTTAATAGGAGTTGTGTGTGATTCAGGCAAGTTAGGGGGAGCTATTTCGATGCAGGAAGGGAGAGACGTAGACGAAGGGTTTTGGTCTGGGCTTCATGCAGATTAGGACAAAGAGCATCACATGAGTTTCAGTGTCGAGAAGCGTTGAGCGAGATCTGTGAAAAACGGGGCAGGCAAAAGATTTGGTGATTTTAAAAAGGGAGGCGGAGCGGCATTGTCGTAGGCGAGGATTCATGCAAACAGGGAAGCAGTAGGGCTTTAGCTTCAATTCATGGCTGGAGTAGATGGAGAAAAATATGTGAGTTTTGGATATCCTTGTATGCTACAATCCTGTTGTTGCTTTCCTTGCTAACCTCAGTTACGACTGTCTCTCAAAGGTTGTGGTTACGAAGAGGAAGGGAGACAGAGTGGTAGGAGCGGCAAGGGCTTCGGCGGTTTTAGGAAGCGATGGTGTGGAAGGGAGGACTTTAATTTTGAGTGCATGAGAGGATGGCGAGGAAGTGCTTGGTCGAAGAATGAAATGGAATATGACTTCCTCTTGGCTGTTGTGGGCGAAATTGAAAGAGTAGAGGAGAGAGCTTCTTTTCCATTGGTTAGGTCCTTTTGAAGTAATGGGAGGTTTGTTTCTTTTGTGTGTGGCTGTTTCGAAGTGAGCCGGGCCGAATAACTAAATTTTGTTTTACGCCTCAAAGTAATCGCGCGTGGTAATTTTTATGCTGTACTGGCGAGAATCTGTAGGAATTTTTTTTAATTATTATTATTGTTTATTCTAACCATTTTTTATTTTAACGGTCAATTGTTATGTCATCATTCAAGTCATGTCACTCCTTTCAATAATCATTATTTCTTTTTTTTTTAAATAATTTCAATGAAAACAAATTTCCCTCTTCTCTGTGATACTTCCTCTCTTCCAGTTCATGATCTGTATGAGATGGTTTCCCTTGTTCCCAAGTAAACTTCCTTGTTCTTTGCCTCCTCTTCCCAAGCCACCAGCTCCCTTCCTCCCCCATTCAAATCCATTGCGAAGAATCATAGTTTTGTATCGCAAAAATGGACTGAAATTAATACGAATATTGGCACTCATTTTCAACTTCTTAATCATAATTGAGCCTGTTTGTCCTATAAAAAAATTCACGAACTACATGAGTGAAAAAATCTTGTAAGTAGAAAGGATGGATTCTCTGTAATGAGTGGGAACTCATCAAACATGATTATTTTCTAACCACAAACTTGCAGTGAAGCTACTAAGCATTGGAATAATAATATCGGGCTCTTATAGACATACCATCTGACAGGGGCGTCCTGTGGGGGCTGAACCGGCCAGGGGACAATAGGTTGGGGTCCCACCTCTCCCACTTATCTAATGTATTTATGTGTATTTTGTGTTGAGGGTTCAGTTTTTTTATTTTGATTTCAGGTTTCTGTGTGGGCAGCTGCCGGCGCCCGGCTTCTCTTTCTAGGGTTGTATCCAACTGATTGGGCGGTGCTCTGATTGTATCTCTCTCCGGCGATAGTGATTATCTCAAAATTCTTCCCCCACTTCCCTTCCCGTGCTGGTCACCAGCTCTCCTGCACCCTTTCTACTCCTACAGCCGGCCTACTTTCCTGCATCCCCGCTCTCCCCTGCTTGCCGGTCGCCGGTCTGCTCCCTTCCATTCCTCAGCAGTCAGCCCACTCTTCTCCTGCAGCTTTGCTGCTGCCCAGCCGGCCTTCGTTACACCACAACACCGCCCCTCCTAGCCACATGGCCCTTGTTAGGCAGCTGCAACTCCTCTACCAGACAACTTGAACACCCGCGACCCCTCTATCTTCCCCTTGTCCCGGGCCGTAATTTTCCTTGTACCCACTTCTGCCCTCCCATAAATTCCCCACTAGTACTGTTCCTCCCTGCAGCAACCCCAATACCTTGTCCTCCTCTCTTCTGACGTGCCTCCACACCCCCATACCCCCACCTATTACTACTGTCCCTTCACCCAACCTTCCTGTTGTTACCATCTACACCACCTGCTGTCCTGCCGGTGCCCACCCCCCTCACTCTCACCCTAGAGAGTCCCACGTGTTTGGTACTATTTATTTCTCTGTTTTAAATCGACGTCGTTGTAACCTTTCGAATTTCAGCAATCATATTCGCATTTCTCTTGTGGTTTGGGTTAACTCTGATATTATCATCCGATTCTTATGTTTTTACTTGTCTAACACCTAAACATTATTTTTTACATTTATACCACTCATATCTTTCATACCATATAAAAAATACCACTATTTTCTTTTCATGCAATATATAATATGATACAGATGTAAAAACTAAAGTTTAGGTGTTAGATATATAAATGCATAAGAATCGTGGTCTGTATGTTAATATTCGTTATAACTGTTTTGTTCCAGCATTTATGCGCATGCTATGCAATTTCTTTGAATTTACAAATCTAACACCGAAATTTCGCTTTGTACATTTATACAGCCCCAATCTTTCTTAGCACATAAAAAATACCATAAATTAACTTTTACAGAGTGAAATACACCTTTTTGTCCATAGTTAAACTGGTGTGTGTGTGTGTGTAGATAGATAGATAGATAAATACATATAAATTGAAGTTTTGGTGTTAGATATATAAATACATAAGAATTGAGTGGGATATATATATGTAAATCTTCCTGGTTTGTTTTATGAAAGAACCTATCAATAATATTTATTTATCTTTGAGTTATGAAACATCACAGGGAAATTGCAAACATACCATAGTGTTCAGAGACTTGAGATTGATCCATCCAGATGATTCACACAACAGAGCAGATTACCCTCTCCTCACTTTCCAAATCAAACCTCGTAAAAGAAAATGCTCAGTTTGTCAGATCTATCAGGCAACAAAGATGACCGTTGAGGATAAGTGGGCCCCAGATGATCCCTCTTATTTCTGCATCAAATGTTATTTTCTTCTTCATTACAAGGAAGATAACACTTTATTGTATCCTCATACTGTATATGATTACTTTCATGAGTAATTAAATCATAAATTGCTGATACAACCCCTGCTTGTTGTGAAACAGTTATGGGGCTTTTACATACATACCACCCATTTCTTATGTATTTACATATTTAACTCCTTAATCTTAGTTTTTGCATTTATATCACATGTTTTAACATTTGAAAACATCTTTTCATGCATGGATAAAGTGGCATATATATGTAAGAAATGAAGTTTAGTTGTTAGATATGTAAATGCATAGGATTTAAGTGGTATATATGTAAATATTCCAACAATTATTACTTCATTCGCTTCACATATTCTGTACTAGAGCAGGTGTTTTTCCAAGCTTTTGACTTTTGAAATTTTATTTCTTTTCTACAGAATTTAAAGGTTTATTTCTTTAGATGATTTACATAGATACTACAATTACTATGTTAAGTCGTCATTTTTATGTTTATGGCACTTTATCTATGCGTTAAAATGTGTATTTCATTTTTACAGTTACTTCATAATTATAATCTTGTATGATATGAAAGACGTGGGTGCTATAAAAATAAAAATCATGGCTATAATATGTAAATATGTAGGAATTGTGTGTATGTAAATGACCCAACGAGTTCATTAATGAACCTGCTAGCTTAATGTAGCAGCTTCTCCGGGCATTGAATTTTATGCGGGATCTACACGTATTTTTCCATTTTTATGTGTCCAATAATTCAATTTTGATATTTATTTATAAGGCCATTTGTGTGCATACCACCCTATTTCTATGTATTTACATATATAGCAACTAACTTTTATTTTTTATAATTATACCACCCAAAATATGATTCCACATCAAAAAGACCCTTCTGTGAAATATACACTTGCATGCATAGGTGAGGTGGCATGTACGTAAAAATTGAAGTTTGTGTTAGATTTGTAAATAAATAGGAATTGAACGTTATGTATTTAATTCTTTCTTACTTATATAACATTTTACTGTCATGATTATGTCGAATATAAAAAAAATGTCTATTTCACTTTAGAAAACATAATAGCAGTATTTCTGATATGAAGATAAAGATTTGGGTGGCATATTATATATATTTAAATTATATTATTTATATGATATTATATATTGTTGATGAAGTTGACCAAAATCACTCGGGTTGGATATGAGAAAGTTGTGATGGAGTCTTTTAGAGTTTAAAGGAGATTGGTGAAGTTATAGATTAAAAATACAACTATTTTTAAATTTTAAAGAAAATAAAATACATCTTTTCATATATAAGGTGTAAAAAGTGAAATTTAAAGGTTAGATGTGTAAATACATAGGAATTAGGTAGAATGTAGGCAAATCTTCCTTTTATTAATTATTTTAAAGTTTTGAATGTTTTGTGAACAAATAATTAAATTTCAGTGTTCAATGTCTAAATTGGACAACTTTTGAGTGTTGACATATGCAATATGTAGATGGAAGTAATTTGATTATGATACTTTTCAAAATTAATAAATTTACTTTAAAAATAAATAAAGAATAATAGTTTATATTTTATTCACAACAAATTTAAATTTGATAACGTAGTATTGAGAAAAACCTATGAAAAAAAAAGTGCAACGGAATATAACTAAGGAGGGCTCATGGATGGAATACTGAGGGTCTATAGGTGGCAGAGCAAAGACTCACAGGCGGAAGATTAAGGGTCCAACAGCGGAAGATCGATGGTCCACAAGATTAATGATTAACTAGCAAAATATTGAAAGGACCTTTCTGATTATGTGTAGACCCCACCCCCTACCCTAAATCGGGGTTTCAGGGCGAACTAGTGTAGGTTCTCCTAACCAAAGATCAAAGTTAACTGAGCCAAGTAGAGGATCCCGCCTCTTGTCACAGCCTGATTCAAAGAAAGAGTTCGACATCTTCATCTACCTTGAACATGCTCTTAAAATTCCTCATTCGGAGTCAGAATTGGCCATAGAAATAATCTTCTCTCTCCCATGTGTTACACTCTATATCTTGGTGTGATTTACGATGAAATCAAGATTCAACATTCATAAAATATATTTAAAAAAATGCAAAAAATGCCAACACCACTATGTTGCATCTATCTTTAGTCCTACAACTTGCATTCAAATTCAAGTGATTAAGTGTAAATCCTTGATGCATTCTGAATTTCATGTTCCACACAATATTATGACATACAATATTATTGTATATGAGACATGTAATATTCTTTTCCAAATTCAAACTCCGGGAACTAATAATGCTCAAAATTTACCCAAAAATAAAATAAATAAATTATTTCATCAAAACTCTGAGCTGAGCTTTCTCGCACTCCAACCCACCGGCGCCGCCACGAAACCTATCCCTCCCCAATCCCGGTGACGGAACCTTAAACGCCCTCGAAAACTCCACGAACCCATTCATTCCTCTCCTGATGTGCGGATTCTCCGCCTCCCTTCCCTCTCTTTCTCTACCCTGCCGGCCGGCGACTACACAATCAACCTCACCGGTCTTCTGCATTCCATTACCGGAAACCTCTCTCATCCTCTCCTCCAGAAGGATAGCTGCGTGGGCGAGCTTCATCTTCACTCTCTCCTCCCTCCACGCCTCCGCGAGCTTCAGCATCCGCCGATCATCGTCCGCCTCTCTGACCGCGCGATCTGCGGCCTCGCGGCACCGCGCCGTCTCAGCCTCGGCATCAGCACGGGTGCGACGCTCGTCGGCGAGTTCGCGTGCGAGGGATTTGGCGAGGGATTCGGCCGCGCGGCGCATGCGACGTTCGCGATCGAGTTCTGCGCGGAGATCGCTGATTTCTGCGAGGGCGAGTGGGAGGTCGTCCATGGCCGTGGTGTGGAGGTGGGTTTGTGGTGGGGAGAGGGAGGGGGAGGTGGGGATTCGTAGGGGGTGAGGTGATGGGGGAAATCCAACAGGAAGTGGGGGTTGTGATAAAGCTTCCATGGAGGGGAGGCATCGGCGGCCATTACTGAGAGGATGGATGGGGTCGGATCCGGTACGTATATGGCTTTAAAATTTTGTGCGTTTCCAGGCTGTGCCAAAGATCTTAATTGTGATTTTAGTGCTGTGCCACTGCTGCAACTTTTCTCTTTTTTTTTTTCTTGCTTTCATGTATATTGGATTGTGAACTGAGTGGAGATTTTTATGAGGAGAAAAGTTGGGGGAGGAATGAGGGAAGGATGGAAGAGGAGAATGGTAGGTCCCTCTAAACCTAACGCAGCCTCACATGAATCCTTCCTTTCCCCTCACTTCTTGTCATGTTGCATTCATTCCTCATCCAGTGAGGGGCATTGTAGCTTTTCATTTTTTTATTATTATGAAGAGGAAAAAATGGAAAAAAATATATTATATGGCTTTGGTGACATAAAAGCCCGTTGAATGGGTCTAGAGTTTTGGGATATGTAGTGATTTTTTGGGTGTGAAGTCCTGCAAGTTTTTATCACTGCTTGTTTGGATTGTGGAAATTTTTGTTGATCATGCATAAGTTTAAGAGGCATTTACATTTACATACATATCATACAATTTCTATGTATTTATATATGTGAAGTTTACTTTTACATTTATAACACGGAAATCTTTCATGTCACACCAAAAATATTATTATTTTAATTTTTTAATAGTGAAATACGCATTTTCATGCATAGATGATGTGACATTTATGTAAAAATTAAGTGGTTTGTATTTAAACATTCTTAAATTTAAATTTGAGTTGGGGCATCTAAATCTTTGTCAAGGTTTACTCAAACAAGCAAATTCACATGTCAAATCAAGATTTAAGAAGAACCAAAAAGGTATTTTTTCTCAATGATGATGACAGAAGTTTTGAGGCAAAAACCTTGAAATGGAAAATAAAAACTCATAAAATTAAGAATAATTGATAAGTATGGTATCGATCATCTATATATTTAATAAATTCATTATCATAAGAAAAATTGCTAAATCATGTAAGGTGAGCACTTAAAATCAAAACATATCATGAGGGTCAACAACCTCATACTCACTTTTAACATATTCAAGCAATTATCATATATAATAATTTTATCATCCTCTGATGCAGTTTTATTTGCATATATAAAATCTTTTTTAATCGTTATATTTTTCTTCAAATAACACTAAATTCATATGGTCACTTCAATCGTTAATAATGATATTCAAGCAGTTCAACTGTGAATTATTCATATGGTCGCTTCAACCACCATAAAACATTCGTTCTTCACTAAACTGACCCAAATTTGTTAGAATTGGCAATGTAACCACTGTAATAATTGAAGTCAATATTAGACTGTAATTTAAGCGTTAGAATTTATTCAATTGAAGTAAATTTTATAGTCAATATTACTTGTAATTTAAGCGTTAGAATTTATTCAGTTGAAGTAAATTTTATAAATTTATTTATTTAAAATTCTAATACAATAAAAAGAAATCCTATACTTCAAATTCTTATGCTTTTGTCTTTAATTTTCGGGCCTCTTTGCTTGGCTTCTTCAAGAAGCCCATTCCTTCTTCACATGCGGCTTTTGTGGAGTTGCCTCCTCTGTTGTGTGTGGTATTTTTCTGGCTTCCTTCACACTCGTTTTGTTGGCTATTTTCCAGCCTCTTTTGGGTAGCCACCTTCTCCACTGCCAAAAATGTAAGCTTTTAGGAAAATCAGCTTTTTATTAATTGCATTGAAGTTGCTTGGTTTTTTAAGGTTATATAAAAGTTTTAGCAATGTTCTATTGTTGCCAACGATAACTTATATTATTCCAAGAATTTGATTAATTGCTTGCTGCATTTTAGCCTATGATATTAGAATCAATCACTCATTCTTCTAAACGTTTTAATTCTGATTTTTTGGGAGTTTTTGGCAGACTCAATTTGAATGACTTGATTATATAGTTTTTCTTTCATTTTCTAAATTTCTGTTTAATATCAAGGTTGGAGGCCATAGGTTTCGATTAGAGGTTGATTTATATGTTAAGATTGTTATTTTTGAAAGTGTTTTGAATATTTTGGGTCTAATAAGAACATAGCTAGGAAGTGTTGTTCGTGCAACCATGGTTTGTAGTTAATTGGAGATTATTTCTCAAGTAAGAAGTTTGAATTGATTATTTGAACGAATGCACATGATTGTTTTGGTCATGAAGCATTGAAAATCTCTTATTATCATGAAGATTTTAGTTAGAGAAAATATTACTTGTGTATGATATTTATTTTATAATTTTTTTTTAAATTCTTATTGCATATTTTCATTATTACATCATTACTAAATCATTTATGCTATAGTTAAATAGTTTTATTATTTATTACATTATTTTGTTCATGCTTTGTTTCAACCTCAATCAAACCTTTGAACTTTGAGTTGCTTATTACTGTTTTGTGTAATCTTGCTTTCCCTTTGTTTTCTTGCATTCATACGAAAAAGATGACTTTGTCTCTTGCTCTCTAATGTTGAGCAGTTGTATTGAACTGAACGATTATATAAAGTATATATTATATATATAAGTATAATATAGTATAATATATATATTGATAATATATTATATTTTTCTTATGTAGCCTGATTGAGATACTGCTTCAAATGTCTCAAATAAATTTTTGAATGATGTATCAAATAAGCTTAGAGTGATACATAGGCCTATTCACAAATTTCAATTTATTGCAACAGATTCACAAGCATGAAATTGGGGGCAATTCATTCAGTCTCCTTTGCAAATGTAATAATCATTAGTCGTGACAATAACTGACTATTAAGGGGCCATTCAACTAGCTTTTGAGATCAACTCTAACTTTCAATTTATTGCAACAGATTCACAAGCATGAAATTGGGGTCAATTCATTCAGTCTCCTTTGCAAATGTAATAATCATGAGCCGTGACAATAACTGACTATTAAGGGGCCATCAGCTTGGCTTTTGAGATCAACTCTAACTTGCAGTTTAGTGGTTTTTGATCTACTAATATGCACTCATGATTATGCAAATTATTCCAAAAGAATGAACCATTCAGAACTATTGTAACCTCCACAAGTTGTTTTTTCACGAGGTATTTGCTTCAAAATTCTCCTATCAAACACGTGAATTTACCTAAGACGGAAGTATTTAAAATTTGAAAATGTCTATGCTCGATAGGAAAGTATAAGGAATTATATTCCACCTAAGACAGAAAGTTTTAAGATTTAAAAACGTCTATGTTCGGCGGGAAGATATAAGGACTTACATCCCACCTAAGACGAAATTATTTAAGATTTGAAATGTCTATGCTCCGGAGGAAAGCATAAGAACTTACATTTCACCGAAGACAGTAAGTTTTAAGATTTGAATGTCTCTATGCTCGACAGGAAGGTATAAGGACTTCCATCCCACATAAGATGGAAAATTTTAAGATTTGAAAGCGTCTATGGTCGGCAGGAATGTATGAGGACTTACATCCCATCTAAGACGAAAAGCTTTAAGCATTCCTGGACACATCGGCAAAAAGAGAATATAGGAACGTATTCTCAATCTGAGTAGTGTACAAGGACAGCTTGGTCAACATAGATAATATAGGGATCTACATTGGATTAAAGTAGATACTTAGGGACTACCTACCTTAAGTGCTAACCGATATATCTTAGGAGTATTTCAGTAGGCTATGGGCTTCTAAGGGCTATTCACGGTGTGCAATGACTATGCCAGAAAGCTGCACATACTTTACTAGGTTTACCGAGTCAAGACATTGACTTGTCAAATTCTGTGCAGGGATTGAGGTCAATGAACCGAAAAGGAGAAAATAAAATGTTTCACTCGTTCAATTAGTCAAGGTATTGCTCCATTGTACTCGGAAATACAACACAAAATAGTGAACCCAAAACTCCGAAGAGTGAGCGCCAACCCATTCCCCCTAGTCTACAGTAGATGACTTTAACAATCATTCCCTAGTGCAATGACTATACTAGGACCAATCCTAGATTGACAAAGGCAAGGCGCCAACAACAAAAATATTGAACATTTTTCCCAAAGCTGACCTTTGTTTTGATCATTCCAGTTTTCTTAGTTTAAAATCTGCCTTTAGTGAAGGTGGCAACCAAATGTAGCTCCCATAATGGTTCATGCAATTATTATGGTTGAAAGTGTTTGCCACAAGCTAATTTAGTCATCATACAATAGGAGTATCTAAGGTCATCTTGACCAAGTTTATAATCAATCTAGGGTTGTTGAGTGCTAATTAGAAAGATGTCTAGACCAACTATACTCAACCAAGCCACGCTAGGGTCAAATGATAAGAGAGCCCACTAGACAAATCTAAATGTAAATAGCGAGATATCATGTTTAAACTACCAACTTATCCAAGATATTCTCAGGGATTTTAGAGTGAAATACAAGGGTCACTAAAGGTTCACAATCATCTAAAGCTATGTATTCCCCCAAGCACTCTAAAAGTAAGGAGGACTATTGGCTGTCTAAAAATCCCTGGAATTAACTTATAAGGGGGTCTCTAGTCAGCTTAACATCATCAAAAAGAATGATTACATCCATATAGGAAAATTATCGGAGAACCCATATATTAGTATTGAGATAGTTTAAGGCAAATCTCTGGCATGGGCTTACCGTCAACTAAGAGTAGGCTAATTGGGAAATATTCTAAGTTACTTAAACTTTGCTAGGAAGAGCAAGGTTTTAAGATACGGGTCAAAGAAATTTCTAATGACTAAATTTTTTTGATTAATGAGATTGTTTTAGTGGCGATCACTATATAGTTAAGCCTCAAGTGTTTGATTTAAACCAGTTGTTAAACATTTACTTTATATTCAATTACACATTCAAGAATTTTCTAAAAAAAAGCTCTTTTAATGTTCAAGACCTATAG